GGGCTGCTGCCGCTCTTGCTACTACGTCTGCCGCTACCAACAGACTGAGTATAATTATTTTATAAAAAATAATTTAATGTCCTGTAAATTTTTTTTTCATTTTCAACTCTTTATTTTTTATTTTTTACAAAATGTACAAAGTCTATTTCATTTGCCACTCAGTTTTAAGCCTAATACCAGTCCCTGGCCCCCAGTGGTCACTGCAGGTACTGCAGGAAATACTGATATTTTTGTATATATTTTGTATATATATATGTATGTATTTCCAGCATGACGTTGGGAAATTTCACGCACTTCTTTCCCTCCTGTTCCAGGCTGGGAGTCAACTCAAACCAACTTAGTTGTTCTGGAGAACGTTCCGGATCACATGAATGAGGACATGTTGCTGATGCTGGTGGAGTACGTGTCGGGGTCCAAGGAAGACTCTTTTAGTCTGGAGATGATCAGAGATTCCGGCAGAGCGGTTGTTGTCTTCAACCAACCACAAGGTAAAAGAGTTCAGTCTTAGTCCCGCCTCCGGAGAGGCGATAAAATGAGGAAGGGAACATGTTTTGTTAGAGAAATCATCGCTAGGTTAAAGCCTCGGAGTACTTTGCAGACGGAGAAAAATTCATCACGGCCGGTCGAAGCAGCGAGAGGATGAAGAAGCACGGACTGACCGCTGGACCAATGGTGGCAGCGAGGAGCGTTCAAGTGGAGGGACTCCCGACTACGGTCAATTCAGGTACGACACCGTACAACTGCAGAACGGAGGACGTTATATTCAAAATACATGTGTATTTGTCTCAGAAAAGTTGTGATATACAGTACTTACTTTCTGTCTCAGATATGCTGGACCTGTACTTCAGCAACAACTGGGTTTCTCCAGACCATATTGACATGGTCCCCCATGAACAGATCGCCATCGTCTCCTTCAGCGACCCAAAAGGTTTTTCTAACTCTTAGCGAATTTCAATCATTTGTTTTGACAACACGCGGTCCTCGACTTACGACGGCGTTCCGCTCTTACGGAGCGGCATAACTCGATTTTCACAGCAAGTCGGAACTTACTGACCTACGCTAACGCAGTGGTAACGTCGTAATAAAATCACCAGGAGAGTCTTGCGCCTGTGATCATCGTTGTAAAGGGCAAAAAGTTTCCCAAAAAACAACACAAACGAAAAACGAAAATGAATGTGGCACGATTTAACGTAGCGTCTTCTGCGTATAGATATATCGCTAATCGCGAACTAGTTGCCGTGCGAAATTAATTTTAACGCCATATTGATGGAACAAGACTTTTTTTCAATAAATTTACAGGAGACGGTGATGTAAGTACGAAACGCTGTAGGTCGAGGACGTCGTAAACCGAGGACCCCTGTAGGTGATGTCACTACAGTGACATTTCCCCCCCCCCTTCGTGTTTCTGCAGTCGTTGAAAGCATCTGCATCAAGGAAGACTACATGATCAGATCCATCCCTGTCAAAATGTACCCGTACCACGAGTTCCTGGGCACCGCCTTTTACGGCAAGAACCGACCGACTTGGAAGATACCTGAAGCATTCACGGAGAACGTTCCCTACGCCGTCTGGGACTTCCTCCAGAAGAAAAATCTCTTTGACGTCATCGGCCATCAAATGCATTCCCACTACTGCGGCGTTGACTTTGAAAAACCCGCTGTCAAACTGCGCCCCCTGTCCAATTTAATGAGGCAGAAACTGACGGCCTCCGGCGTAGACACCTGGAGGAGTAAGGCCAAGGAGGCCTTCCAGACCCTCATGTCTCAGTACGCTGTCTTTGAATGCTCCATGAACGCCCTGGCGTGGAACGCTGCCGAGGAGGAGATTCGTCACACTGTCCGAGAAGAGGCCGCGATGACAATCGATGAAGCCAAAAAGAGGCTGACGGTCGCCTGCAAGGCCGACGATCTGAGGCAGATCCGGGCTGCCGTGGAGAGCATCGTCCTGAGAGCCATAGATCGGATTGACCGGGAAATAAACGGGACCTCGGACTTCGTCAAACTGTCTCCTGCGATGTTCTACGTTCTGAAGCAGTTGGGTCTACATGGAGCATCTCGGAACATTTCCTCCGAGATGAAACTCTCCTACAGTGACCAGTCTCAGAAACTGACAATTTCTGGTCTGCACCCCGAGGTCTGCAAAGTCAAGGCCTGGATCCTGGAGAGGAATGTGAAAATGAGTAGAAGGCAAATAGCCCTGCATCCGTGCCTTTTAGAATTCTTAAAGTCGGAGGACCCCATGGATATGTCACACGACCTGTTCACCTCCCAGGGGATCAGCGCCATCTACAGCATTGACAGCAAAGGGGTTCTCCTGATGGGCAGTTCTGACACCGCTCTGGCAGATGCCGAGGCTCAGCTGAACGCAGTTACGTTTGTCGAAACTGTGAACGTGGAAGACCAGCGACTACTGAATCATCAAACCTGGTCGGACCTGAAACAGAGGCTGTTGGACACCTACAACACCGCAAAGAGGAAAACGGTAGCCATCCAGGTGGATTCTGGGAAAAGAGCCAAAGTAACAGTTGTCGGTTTTGTCAATCCGGTCAAGGAGGTCAGTCGCAGTCTGACGGAGTTCCTCGTGAGCAACGCAAATGTTCAAGACACCATACGCGTCAGGTCTCGTGCCGTGATCCAGTTTATTGATAAGAAAAAAATGCACGAACTAATCCGCCTGGCCAAAGCCAACGACGTGTTTGTCAAGCTGGAACCAGAACGGTGCCGAGTCTTCTTCAAAGGGACGCGGACCCATGTCCAGAAGGCCAGACCCTGCTTTGAGCAACTGATCAACGGTCTTTGCACTGACAACTTCACCGTGGACAAGCCCGGAGCCAAGAAATATTTCCAGACTCAGGGAAGTTTGCTTCTCTTTCAAATGTTGCAAGACTCCAACTGCGCGGTCATGCTACGTCCCGACGATTGGGATGATCTGGAGGAAGAGGAAGAAACGTCTGAAGACGAGGGCGAGTCCGTTTACTGCACGGTGCAGACAGCACGTGGGCTACTGATCAAAGTCAGCAGAGGGGACATCTGCAGGATAAGTACCGACGCTGTGGTTAACGCAGCCAACGAGGAGCTGCAGCACATCGGTGGTCTCGCTTTGGCGCTGCTCAAGGCCGCGGGACCAAGACTGCAGACGATGAGCAATGACCACATTGTTAAGAATGGGCGCCTCCGTCCAGGAGATGCCGTCATTACGGGCGCCGCCGACCTTCCCTGTAAGTTTGTGATTCACGCCGTCGGCCCTCGTTTCTCCGACACCGACAAAACAACATCGGTTTCTCGTCTGAAGCTCGCCGTTCGAGAAAGTCTGAGACAAGCGGAGGTGGCCAAGTGCTCCACCGTCGCCCTCCCGGCCATCAGCTCTGGGGTGTTCGGCTTTCCTCTGGAACTCTGCGCTGAAGCTATTGCGAAGACGTTGCGCGAGTTCTGCGACAGTCCACATGGTCCCCGGTCACTGACTGAGATTCACCTGGTGGACAACGTCGGAAACACCGTCACAGTCCTGGCCAAAGCTGTCAACAAACAGTTCCTCGACCTTGGTCCTACACTGACACTGCCACCACAGGGGGGCAGAAGTAGCAGAGCAGCTAAAAGGTAAGCTATGAGAAAAGTGAAGACAGGAAGTAGAAAACGTCCTCTTTAGATCTGCCTGAAAAAATAATTCATATGTGTTAAACCCCAGGCCCGAGGGCCCGAATCTAGCCAATCACGTTACGGAAAATAATCGTATTAATAAGAACCTTTGTTATTATTATTATTGTTGTTGTTGTTGTTGTTGTTGTTGTTAATACCTGAGTTATGTCCTAGTAGGCGACCGCAGGGTAAAAAATCCACGAAAACCTTGAATCATGTTGTCGGAAGAGGTCGCGGAAAACCTGGACAGGAAGCAGCGAACCTGCTCGGCAACAAACCGTATCTCAGTTCGGAGACGCACCAGGGGGCAGGGTGAGATTCTCTCGCACTTTTTGTTCATTTCTCTACTTATTAAACCACGTTTTCACGTTGTGTAAATAAAACGTGTTAAAAAAAAGTTACATTTAAATTCCACATAGCAGTGATGTGGTGCCCCTCACTGTTTCCACGGGGTACCGCTCTGTCTGTGTCTGTTACATGTGTATTTCTGTGATTGGCTTCAGGCCCGGAAAAATGGAACAAACCCCCGAAGAGAATCTGAACATCGTTCTCTGCGTAGGAAACATTCAGGAGCAGACGGTGAGTAACCGGATCAGGAACAGTTGATCTGTTTGTTTAACCTGGCAGTCCGCTGTGATTGGCTGTCAAAGACTCCACATTCTTCATCCTATTTGATGATGTTCATCATTGTCTTAATGTTATACTCGGTGGTAAAAAATGACTATTTATATTTCCGAAATTATTTATTCCCTGGTGGCGCTTTGGCCCAGAGGCAATGTCTCTGTCATTGGTGTGGAACCCCAGGGTTCACCTCCTGGGCAAGTTCGAATCCCGGTTAGGGAGGTTGGTACCTTCCAGTGGACTCACCACCCGCAGGAAGGTTTGGTACGGTGCAATGTGATTTGGGTGGAGACTGCTGCCCCCGCGACCCGGAAACGGATAAGCGGATGAAAATGGATGGATGGATGGATGGATGGATTTATTCCCTGAAGCAGGCCCTCAAGCAAACTATGGCCCGGGGGCCGGATGTGGCCCGTGAACCTGTTGAAATTATATTTTAATAATAATAATAATTATTATTATACTTCTGCCTTTTCCCCTGCAATACCCCATTTCCCCAATAGGTTGCGTACAAAAGGCTAATAGCATTTTAGCATTAGCATGACTTTTACATCTCATTTTATCTTAGTTCACACCCACGCTCCATCTATCTGCACTTAGGACCCTAATGCGGCCTGCGATGTGGCCCGCGAGTCAGAAATTTGTCCACGCCTGACTTAAAGGGTTGATGGGTAAAAGGGGGAGGAGGCGGGTAGGGGTGGGGGTGTAGTCAATCTCCATCACCAGGAACACCAGTGGTCAGTTTAGACTGACCAACATACCTGGTCCACAACCCACATGCGTGTGAAGGAGCTGCGGTCCCAGTCTATTCAAATAGCGGCTAGCGGGCCACACGCAGCCCAGACACAAAATCCAAATGGCCACGTCTGTGGTCTGTTTGGTCTAGGTTTTCAGGTTGTACTCCTGTTTATGAGACTCCTGAAAATGTCTGACTGGCCCTGCCGTGGTCCACCGGCCTCCGTCCGTGAGCAGCGTGTCTGTCGCGATCGGATCAACGAGAGGCCGATCTGATCGTGTATTTCTACGTTTCAGACCGACGTCATCGTCAACACCATCTCTGAATGCATGGACCTGAGCAATGGGGCTGTTTCCAGAGGGATCCTGGAGGCAGCCGGGCCCGGGATACAGTTAGCCGTTCGGGCAGAAGCTAAAACAGCCAAGCTGCTGTCGGGTGATGTCATCACCACTGATGGCTTCAACCTCGCTTGTCGGAAGGTGTTCCACGTCGTCTGTCCCATTTGGAGCAGCTATGGAACGGCCGAACAGGTGAGTCTTAGGCGTGTACGGTATCGAAACGGTATCAAACCTCCTGATTGGTTAACCCCGTCTGTTTTTTGACCTCTCAGGTGTTGACGGCAATCGTCAGACGTTGCCTGGAACAGGCCGAGGGCTTCAAAATGGTGTCGCTGTCCTTCCCTGCCATCGGGACGGGAAACCTGGGTTTTCCCCGAGAGGTGGTGTCCAGAATCCTCCTGAAGGAGATCCACCTCTACAGTCGCAGAAGATCTCCACAATATCTGCGGGAGGTGGTGATCGTCATTCACCCCAGTGACCGCCAAACTGCGGATGTGAGTTTTGTAACGATCGTCGATCGTGAATCGTTGCGTTCTGATCGAGGGAGTTCAATACTGGCCTGTTAACGCACAACGTCGCCTCCTAGTGTTTCACCAGGGAGTTCAGAGGTCAAACTACGCAGGGTGGCGTGGGACACGAGACGCAGGAGTTAACCTCTTACTCACCAACACGACAAGACAAGATCCGATCACAGCCCCCTGCAGGTGACAAGCTGATACTGATTTTAGTAAAGTTTTATTTAGGTTTTTTTTTTTTTTTAATAATCCTTGTTATATGTGTGTGTGGGTCTGTGTGTCGTAGCCACCTTTAGCCAGGTTTCATCGCCGTCGCTAGGTGTGTACGAGATACAGATGGGCCGGCTCACCCTGAGAGTGTCAACAGGAGACATCACCAAGGAGACCAGCGACGTCATCGTCAACTCCTCGAATTCGGACTTTAACCTCAAAATAGGTGAACGTCATGTACGGACGGAGGAGCAAAGTTCGCGCCTGTCGCTCCACGCCCAAACTCTCTCTCTCTCTCTCTTTGTTAGCTGTTACTGTTGTTGTTGTTACGTTTTTGGTGAGAAATTGACGGAAACCTTGAAACATCTACTTGTTAGCCAACGTGGATATCGTTAATAATTTCATTATTAATTGGATTAACGATCACGTAATAATTTGCATTTTTAACAACATTGTTTTTTTCTGTCTTCAACCCTCAGGAGTTTCCAAAGCAATCCTAGAGGGCGCTGGAGTAAATGTGGAGCGGGAATGTTCCAGGATTGGTACGTTGTCTGGGATTAACACTATATTTACACTATATTAGAAAATATGTTGGGTCAACGATGGAGGGATGGATAGATGGATTAATGATTGAGGGATGGATGGATGGATGGATGATGGATGGATGAATGGATATATCAATAAATGGACGGATGGATGGATAGATGGATTGATGATGGATAGGTGATGGATGGATGAATGGCAGATGGATGAATAGATGAATGGCGGATGGATGAATCCATGGATGGATGAATGAATAGATGGATGGATGAATAGATAGATGAGTGGATGAATGGATGGATGGATGGATGGATGGATGGATGGATGAATGGATGGATGGATGGATGGATGATGGATGGTTGAATGGTTAGATCAATAAATGGACGGTTGGATGGATAGATGGATTGATGATGGATAGGTGATGGATGGATGAATGGCAGATGGATGAATAGATGAATGGCGGATGGATGAATCCATGGATGGATGAATGAATAGATGGATGGATGAATAGATGGATGGATGAATGGGTGGATGGATGGATGGAATGATGGATGTATGAATAGATGGATGGATGAATAGATAGATGAGTGGATGAATGGATGGATGGATGAATAGATGGATGGATCCATAGATGGATGGATGAATGGATAATGGATGGATGAATTGATGGATGGATGACGGATGGATGAATGGATGATGGATGGATGGATGGATGGATGGATGATGGATGGATGAATGGATATATCAATAAATGGACGGATGGATGGATAGATGGATTGATGATGGATAGATGATGGATGGATGAATGGCAGATGGATGAATAGATGAATGGCGGATGGATGAATCCATGGATGGATGAATGAATAGATGGATGGATGAATAGATGGATGGATACATAGATGGATGGATGAATGGATAATGGATGGATGAATTGATGGATAGATGGATTGATGATGGATAGATGGATTGATGATGGATAGATGGATTGATGATGGATAGATGGATGGATGGATGATAGATGGATGGATGGATGGAATGATGGATGGATGGATGAATAGAGGGATGGATGAATGGGTGGATGGATGGATGGAATGATGGATGGATGGATGGAATGATGGATGGATGGATGGATGGAATGATGGATGGATGGATGATAGATGAATGGATGATGGATGGATGAAGGATGGATGGATGGAATGATGGATGGATGGATGAATGGCAGATGGATGAATAGATAGATGAGGGGATGAATGGATGGATGGATGGATGGAATGATGGATGGATGGATGAATGAGAGATGGGTGGGTGGATGAATGGGTGGATGATGGATGGATGGATGATAGATGGATGGATGAATGAATGGATGAATTGATGGATGGATGAATGGATGGATGTATAAATGAATGGATGGATGAATCATTTAACGTCCCATCGTTACACTCCAAACGTCCGACCTACTTTACCGTGACGTTCTCCGTAGTGAATGCTCCCGGTTACCAGCCTCTGATGATGATCAGGACATCGTCCGGACTCCTGCCCAGCGGTTCTATCGTCCACATCGTCGGTCAGAAGGATCCCGACAACATCCGGGAGTTGGTTTTCGCAGTCCTCACTCTATGTGAGGAAGACAAGTGTCGCTCTGTGTCCTTCCCAGCTCTGGGGACAGGTCTGTCCGGACTGAACACATCAGAGCCTCATCATCATCTTCATCTTCTTCATCATCTTCATCTTCTCCGCCCCGTAAGGTCAAGGAGGAGCCAGTCCGTCAGCAGTGGCCGATGCCATGGTGAAGGCGGTGGAGGACTTTGTGAGGAAGAAGCAGCCGCACTCCGTGCAGAGCGTGAGCATCGTCGTCTTCCAGACCAGCATGCTGATGGAGTTCCACAGGAGCATCGAAAAGAGAGCGGGTGGACATATGAACAAGGGTGTCTTCACCAAGATCAAAGGTACGTTACACTTTTCCCAGGAATTTGAATTCCTCCGATGTCAGAGTCGACTTTCACGATGATAAACTTTCTCGTTGTAGACACCTTCACCTCCATTTTTACGCTGGGCGAGGAGCGGCCCAAATCCGAGAGTCCGGTTCTGCGTGGCCTGGAGTTTGAGCCGACGGTGTTTCAACTGTGTGCACAGAGCGAAAAGGTAAACGACATTTACTCGAATTTCCTTCATTTACTCGTTGATCATCAGTTCTTTACGGAATAACCAGAATTTCAGGTCTAAGTCCCGCCCCAAAATATTCTCATTGGCTGACATACACTATATTACCAAAAGTATTCGCTCACCCATTCAAATGATCAGAATCAGGTGTCCTAATCCCTTGGCCTGGCCACAGGTGTATAAAATCAAGCAAGTCGCCGACTTTCTGCACAGTCAATTGCTACAGAGCTACAAACTTCATGTGACCTTCAGATTAGCCCAAGTACAGTACGCAGAGAGCTTCATGGAATGGGTTTCCATGGCCGAGCAGCTGCAGCCAAGCCACACATCACCAAGTGCAATGCAAAGCGTCGGATGCAATGGTGTAAAGCACGCCGCCACTGGCCTCTAGAGCAGTGGAGACGCGTTCTCTGGAGTGATGAATCACGCTTTTCCATCTGGCAATCTGATGGACGAGTCTGGGTTTGGAGGTTGCCAGGAGAACGGTACAGTTCAGACTGCATTGTCCCGACTGTGAAATTTGGTGGAGGAGGAATTATGGTGTGGGGTTGTTTTTCAGGAGCTGGGCTTGGCCCCTTAGTTCCAGTGAAATGAACTTTGAATGCTTCAGGATACCAAAACATTTTGGACAATTCCATGCTCCCAACCTTGTGGGAACAGTTTGGAGCGGGCCCCTTCCTCTTCCAACATGACTGTGCACCAGTGCACAAAGCAAGGTCCATAAAGACATGGAAGAATGGTCAAAAATTCCTATAAACACTCTCCTCAACCTTGTGGACAGTCTTCCCAGAAGAGTTGAAGCTGTAATAGCTGAAAAAGGTGGAGCGACATCATATTGAACTCTGGGTTAGGAATGGGATGGCACTTCAGTTCATAGTATGAGTCAAGGCAGGTGAGCCAATACTTTTGGTCATATAGTGTATGTTGACCAACCCTTCCTGGACGGACGGATGGATGAATAGATGGATGGACGGATGAATGGATGGATGAGCGGATGGATGGATGAATAGATGGACAGAAGAATGGTTGGATGGATGAATAGATGGATGGATGGATGGATGAATGGATGGATGAATAGATGGATGAATGAATGGATAAATTGATGGATGGATGAATAGATGGATGGATGGATGGCTGGATGGATGATGGATGGATGGATGGATGGATAAATAGATGGATGGGTGGATGAATAGATGGATGGAAGGATGGTTGGTTGGATGGAAGATGGATGGATAGATGAATGGATGGATGAATAGATGGAGGGATGGATGAAAATAGATGGATGGATGGATGGATAAATGGATGGATGAATAGATGGATGGGTGGATGAATAGATGGATATATGGATGAATGGATTAATGGATGGATGGATAGATGAATAGATGGATGGGTGGATGAATAGATGAATGGATGGATGGATCAATAGATGGATTGGTTGACCAACCCTTCCTGGACCAACCACATGTGTCATTTTGGTACACGGGCCGCATGCAACCTTATTAGATATCAAGTGGGCCGGACCAGTGCAGTGGGCCGGACCAGTCCAGTGGGCCGGACCAGTGCAGTGGGCCGGACCAGTCCAGTGGGCCGGACCAGTGCAGTGAGGCGGACCAGTGCAGTGGGCCGGACCAGTCCAATCATAACATAACAAAGTCCATGTTTTCCCCCTTTGTTTTCATGCAAATAAGTACAAGTATATTCATTAAAATATTAAAATATAATATAATTAAAATATTAATTAATAATTAACAATTTTACAAAAAATATCCTGAACATGAATTGCTTGTATTTTTTTTTGTTTTTCTTTTTTCAAAATTCATCAAGCAGGTTGAACGACCTAGCGTGCCGTATGTTTGACACCCCTACGACAGAACAGGGGTGTCAAATGAAAAACTTTTTTTTTTCATTTTTTCATTTTTTTTTAAACAACTTCATTAAAAGGGATTGAACTAACAGCTCTACCTTTTTTTTTTTTTTTTTTTTTTTTTTTTTTTTTGGTTTTTTTTTTTACCCCCCGACCACTGCAGGATTTGAGTCTGGCTAAGAGAAGGATAGAAGACCTCATTTTGTCCGAGCAGGCAGAGAAAACCATCATCGACCCGTACATCGATCGCTTCACGCAGCAGGACGTGGACAAGCTCACGGCCATGCAGAGGGAACTGACCGTTAGCATCCGACTGGACCGGGGGCTCGAGGGACTTATGGAGCCCAAGATCCACCTGCGGGGTCTGACCAGGGATGTGTTCACAGCTGAATCCACAGTCAGGTCCGTCGCAGTCTTTGCTCCTCGCGCCTTTGCTCCTTTCATTGCCTTTGCTCCTTTAATCGGCTCCCGCCTTTGCTCCTTCGAACTGCTCAACCGCCCCTACCTCCGGCGTATGTTCAGCTGCACTTCCTCCGCTCTTGCTAGATTTGCCTTCCCTTCCACAAACATTTTCCCAGAACCTGTTATCCGATCCAGACCCGACCTGTCGAGGACATCGCCTTGCCTAAGCCCGGGTAACTCACCTGTGTCCCGATCTGGACCACGATCCCCGTCTGTTGTTTCCACATCCTTCCTCTGTTTACTTCCAGTAAAACCCGAGATCATCCTGACTTGTGTCCTTTCCGTACCCGTGACGAAGTTAGCCGAAGATGCTATCATGACATAGATAACTTCTAATCTTCTTTTTCTTCTTCTTCCTCTGTCGTCATTTCAGGGACATTATTCGAAAGGTGGAGAGGGAGGAGATCCTGAAAAACAAGGCTTTGTTGCTGACGGCGCTCGTAGAGTGGCAGTTTCAGGACCACAGTGGGACCATGGTGCCGTTCGACATCTACACCAACCTCACTCTAGAGGAGGCTCTGGAGAAAAAACAGGTTGTGACCGTCAACATCTTGCACAAACCTTTCAGAGTCAACGTGGTTCGGAGGAAAGCGGTGTCCGCCGACGGATGCACGGAGGTGGAGCTGCTGAGGAAGGAGCTCAAAGGTGGGTTCAAATAGATAGGTATGCCGACGATGTCACGCTACTACCCGTAGTTCCGTAGTCCGCCATCTTGTGCGGCAACAGAGCGTATAAATAGATATAACCAATCTGGGAATGGAGATTGCAAGATGACGTTTTTTGACATAAAGCGATCTGTTACCAAGGGAAGCTGACGGAGGATATTTCGACAGAAAGAAGGATGATACAGCTTTCGCGTATTAGGCGTGCTAATTTCAACCCAGATCTAAGCAAAAGGCATTACAAAGTCTGTTCTGAACACTTTATTTCGCGTAATTACATTTTACAGCGGTCCCTCGTTTATGGCGGTAGATCGGTTCCAGGGCCCTGCTGCGAGAACTGAATTTCCGCGAAGTAGTGACGCCATATTTATGCACGGTAAAATGATGACGAGGAAGATGATTGATTTTACGTCTCTCCAGAGGGTGGTGCCAGTTTTTGGGGCACCTCTTCCACGGTTTCTGGAGGTGTATTCGTAGTAGTAGTAGCAGGAACCGACTCTCTTTTTTTGCAAGGCTGCAGAAACATTGAGATTGGCAGTTGCTTCCGCTGCTTCTTTTTCCAGTCGAATAGTAGCTTGTATGCAGTCACGACGTCGTCGATTTTGTCACAAAATTGGACCGATTGCGTCTTTTGCCACACAACATGGCCGACGGCGCGATGCATCATGGGTAATAACGGTTATCGGGAAAACCATCTATACCCAGCAGATTTGGAGAATACCTCGTATTCACGTCAAAAAGCCAATATTAGGTGGATCGAAATTAAGTATTATTATTTTATTACTAATATTATTTTTTATATTATTATTTTTTATGTCATTTTTTTGTATTATTATTTTTTATATTATTTTTATATGATTATTCTTTTATATTATTGTTATTAATATTATTGGCCAATATTAGCATAATTATTTAACCGATAAGAATCGTTATCGTTTTTTTTTCTCCGATAATGAAAGCCCAATAACGCAATGCCTGGGTTTGGCCCAGATGATGGGACCTAAAAATAAATTTAAAAGTGAAAGTGAAAGTAAAAGTCCCAGCAGCCCTATTTGGTAGTTGTTTTTTAATCTGCCAAAAGTGTTAAAAGTAAACAGAGTCTGATTATAATAACCACGCCCCACGGCGTGTAGCTCCACCCACAGCCCCACTCCTACCTTACACCCTTAAGTGACTGCGTGAATTCTGTCGTCTCCGACCCAAACGCTACGCACAGCTGTTCATGTAGCACAGCGCTAAATTTTCCTCGGAATTTCTGTTTTGGAAAAGTTTGTAACGATACAAAAGTCATTGGTAAAAAAAATATTTCATACATTTCCATTTGTTTGTCACAGAGGACAATGCCGTCCCTGGCCACTGGGATGACATGAAGGGCAACTTGGTGAAGCTGTTCCCTCTAGCTCTGGGCTCCAAGGAATACGCCGGCGTGGAGAAGGAATTTAGAAAGACCGGACTCACGTCAACGATCGTCAGCGTACGTTCGTGTAAAAAAAAAACACTTGTCTCGTCTAAAGATCGTTTGTTTGTTTTGTTTCAACTTGACTGCAAATTGCAGATTGAGCGGGTCCAGAACGCGACGCTGTGGCAGAACTACCAGCTGATGAAGAGACATCTGGAACAGAAGAACAAGCACACCAACAACGAAATGCTGCTCTTCCACGGCACAAAAGCCAACGTCATCGATTTCATCAACAACCAGGGCTTCAACCGAAGCTACGCAGGACAACATGGTAACGCGGCCCTCGGTGCCCCCTGTGGACATAGCAATATTTAGATTAATAGTAGGGATGTCCGATGTTAACTTTTTTTAATATCGTCCAAACACGTAATTTCCGATTCCGATATCAACCGAGCCTAGTGGTTTAGGAAGTTAAGTGCCACGTGGTCACTAAGGTGATGGATCAAAGACATATTTCTCAATTATTTTTTGCCATGCCCCCACTAGTGGACAGAAGTTTTTATTTATCTGTACGAACCACTGTATGAGCACCAGCATTCTGCAAACAATTCTCTGATTATTAAAATAAAAAAAATTAATAGAATTAGCTGCAATGCTGCCATCTAGTGGCTTTCACTTTCATATACAGCCTTTTTTCTCCAAAACTAGTTTTAGGTCACACATCATTTGGCGAAAACCCAGGCGTTGCATTATTGGGTTTTTATTATTGGAAGAAAAACTGATAACCATTCCGATATAATATTACATAATTATGCTAAAATGGGGCAGTGGTGGCCTAGTGGAAAAGGAAGCGAACTTCGGTCCGGAAGGCCCCAGGTTCGAATCCACCAACTGCCAGGTTACCACTGAGATGCACTGACCATGGCTGCCCACTGTTCACTTTGGTGATGGGTTAAATGCAGAGGTTAAATTTCGTTGTGCATGCTGTGCTGTGCTGTGCTGTGCTGTGCTGTGTCACAATGACAAATAAAGATAAGTTTACGTTTAAGTTTAAGTTTAAGTGTAAGTTTAAGTTTAATAATATCGGTCCGATATTATCGAACATCCCATAGCATTAATATCTATTCTATATCTATATCTATCTATCTATCTATCTATTTGCCCCCGAGTGTAAACTTCTTTGTGTGATTGTTTGTCCTCTAGGTGCGATGTACGGCAAAGGCAGCTACTTTGCCGTGGACCCCACCTACTCGGAGAAATATGCCCAGATGGGCACCAATATGCACAGGTGCATGTACCTAGCCCGGGTCCTGGTTGGAGACTACACTGCAGGAAATAGTTCTTTGATCGCACCACCCTCGAAAGGCTCTGCCGTCGCAACGGATCTTTACGACAGCGTCACTGACAATTCTGCCGCTCCCAAAATATTTGTCGTCTTTAATGACATCCAGGCGTACCCAGAATACATTATCACATTCCAGTAATCGAACACCAGCATTTTTGTTTTAAGTAATTAAAAAAAACAGCAGTTAAATTAAAGGTTTTCTCCATGTTCTCTTTAGACAACATAATTAATCCTTACGTGGGAGTTAAATTTTAACAATTTAGTCACACTAGACCAGGGGCTGTCAAACTAATTTCCACCAGGGGGCCACATCAGCAATACAGTTCCCCTTGAAGGGCCGGTTATATATGGAAAACTGTATAGATCAGGGGTCTGCAACCCCCGGTTTGTGGACCAGTACCAGTCCAAAAGTCATTTGGTACCGGGCCGCAGTGGGACACAGTGGAACAATTTACTTAATTTTTACTAATTTACTTCATTCAAAAAAGTCATATCCATTTAAAGATAAAGATAATCTAATTTTAAATTAATAAGTCATTCAAACTCTGATACTATCAGAATCACAGTATAAAATATGTTATATTTTGAAAATTTAATGCTTAGTACCTTACTACTGGTCTGTACTAACAAAACGGCTTGGCGGGCTGCATTTGGCCCCCGGGCCTTGAGTTTGACACGTATGCACTAGACAATCAGAGGAATTTTTCAACATTTTTTTGATTCAGTCATTTATCTTGAGCAACCAACCAACTTCTCGGGACTTTCAAAATAATTAAAAAAAATATTTTGTTAAAGACAAAATGTGTCTTCTGTCTTTTTTTTTTTACCTCACCTTCAGGTTGATGAAACACATTCATATCTGAAAATAATCAGATAATAAATTAAAATAATAAATAAAATAATATCTAAAAAATGTGGAATAAATACTACAAAATTAGACAAAATATGGAATAAAAAAGCCTTGAAAAAATATATTATATATAATATTATATATATATTTATAATCTTAAAAAATGAGACGAAAGTCCACATCATAAATCGTTGACTACGTGACATAGTAAACAACGTGGAGGAACAGACTTTATTCCAGCTTCTTCCTGTCCTCCCTTGTTCCTTTACTCAAATTTTACATCACACACGAATTAAGTCGGTTCAACGGTTTGATTATCTGACGTTGCAGTGCACCTTTTGTCCAGGTGGCGCCGTTCGTGAGCTCTCCCGAAATCCCCGGATGTTATTGTAGCTAACCCTTTTAGCAGGAGTGCTAGCCGCTGCGAAGCCGCTCAGTCCTGACGCTACGGTCTGCCGCATCGGCTACTTTCGATTCTTTTTGACTCCCCGGCCCAAAACGTCCGGTTTTTAGCGTCAGTTAAACAACCTCTACTATTTACCATGATAGAAGTTAACTAAAGGAGTCGTAATTTTTTAGACCTTGTCGTGGAATTTTCTTCAACCGGTTTGGCGGGACTAGATCGGGTTAACAATACGACAAGCTAAAGCCTGAAGCGGCTAGCGCTGAGACAGAGGCCAGTTTGTTTTTTCAGGCAGCTAACACAGCTAGCTTAGCCAGCTACCGCGGCTGACATGGAAGACAAATCTTTCACTAAAGAATTAGACCAATGGGTCGAACAGCTAAACGAGTGCAAACAGCTATCGGAAAACCAAGTGAGGACACTCTGCGAGAAGGTAAGTTGACTTCACTTTCGTCATTTTTTTGTTTTTCTCTCTCTCCCGTTCTGTCTCGGCCTCATCACGGTGTGGCCTGGAGTTGCGAAAGCGGCTCCGTCTAAATGCTGGTAACGAGGCAAGGGCAAGGCAGTTGCCGTCGGTGCCTTTTCCGACCAGTCATCCCGACCATACGGTCGTTTGAAACTATCGACATTAACATGGGTAAAACAACCGACGCCTACTGTTTTGGTTTTCGTCGTATGTGAGACGTGAATTTTGCGAATGTTGTGAATAAATGTAGTCTAGTTCCTGCCGTGAAGTGACCGACAGGCCGTAAACCCCGCATCCTCGTTGTCAGCAAGTAGCTGGAGCCCATTTTATTACACGCCAATGGCGAAAATATGATACAAACACTGCGTGATTATTTAGCGATTCGGTGACTTTTTACAACGTTATCGTGGAAATGACAACCTAACACGAACACGGACCCTGGTTTGTACCACACCTTATCGTTAGCGATCGATAATTTCATACCAGTGAGCTGTCAAACATCCGTTTTATTCTTAGCTCTGACTCATTTTTCAACAAAAATATATTTGTTTTTTATAACGTCGAATGAAGCTTTTCATCTTTGCTTTTAAATGTCTTCGCCAGCTGTTGTGGGGGGGGCAGAGGGGGTATATTTCCGTGTGAGACGATCAAATGAAATTATACCACCCCTTCTATTCACGGTTTTTTTTCGCAATAAACAACGACGCGATTAAAAACCAATTGTAAAAGAAGAATATTTAGCTTAAAACGTGTTCACGGTGTTGACAATAATTCGATTAATACCGTAATATTATGTGCCCGGTGGTCAATACGTGGGGCGACAGCAGCAGTCACGTCAGACCAAAACAACAACGACGGTAATTGTTAACCTTCCTATTTCGCCAAGTGACAACCGTTAATACATTGCCAAAAACCTATAAAAAAAAATAAAAAAAATAGTCGATGTTATCATCCCTGTGTAGTTGTAAAGAAAACATTTCTTTATTTTAAAAATATGCAGTTTAAAGCTATCAACTTAAACTTGGAAAGAAATGTTTTGGAATATATAGGAAGGAAGTACATTCCTGTCCAACCAATGTCTCTCAACTGAATTTTAAAACCCACTTGCCACTGATTATCGTGTTTTCTTAACGTCAAGGTTATTGCCAGAAGACAATAAGACAAAAGTGTACGAAATAAAAAAGGTCATATTTCGACAAACCCAAAACATGTATGTATCCATAACACTTGACGCTGAAAACACATCATATTTAGGACTGTTTGTAAATGGCGGCCATGACGCTTTCCAGTAACATTACACAACGCCAACCAAAGGCCAAATTATTTTTTTAGGCACAATCAAAAATTTTTCTAGACAATACTGAGGGGGCACCACTGACACGCCCCCGTGTTTTACGACCAAGTCAAACAAGAAAGGCAACGAGTGCCTAGCTGTGCAGCCCTTAATAAAAAAGCCTCAAAGTTGTGAATCTTTGGGGCTTGATTACTCTTATAACAGGAAGACGACGTGCGTGTCGACTTGCGGCAAAACGTTGTCAGTCGGGTTGAAGTGTGAAAACCTTCACCACTAAGAGCGATACCGCAGTTAAACACTCAAACGTCCCACTTGTCAGAATTATGAATGTTTTTATGTGTTGAAAAAAATGTGGGCAGCCTTTTAACGTAAACAATTTTTTTTTCTACACAGGCTAAGGAGATTCTGACCAAGGAGTCCAACGTTCAGGAGGTAGGTGTCCTCGCTCTTCGTATCTTTTCTGTCATTTTCTACCAGGTCATGAAAATAACACCAGGAAAAACGCACAGAAAAAAAATTGGCCACCCCAAAAGACGGAAGCAACATGCTAGCATTGTAATTCAAGTCAACTTCGAAGTGTCCTAGCTAGAAAGATAAGCAAAATCTTTTTTTTTCCCAGAATGCCTTGTTTCAGTGCACCTATAAATACTACAAATACGACATTAAGCAAAATTATTACGATGTGGCGGGGAGGTTGACGCTAACGCTGCTCAGCCTGAGTTTCCCCACATGTTAGTTACAGATAAAAATCATATGTTAGCTATAAGTCTAACCTTTAAAAACGTCACTAATATCTGCAGGATGTTGTGTGTCTTTGTCGGACTCTGGTGGACGTGGCCTTATTTACCACAAATGCCTTCATGCATCCATTTAAAAAATGGAAATGAAACGCTACTGGGTCAGACCCAGACTGTGTTGTCCTTCAAGCTAACCTTTCAGCGCTCATTATCATCATCGCACACACGCCACATTTTCTAGTCCTGCACGTTTGGAAAAACGATGTAATTCAATAGTTGAAGCCATCCACGACCAGCTGACTTCATAACAACACGTTAATAATTGATTAGCTTATCCGCCCTACGACACGCCCACTAGCGTCTCCACCAAACCGTGACCCTCTGCCTCAGGTGAACAGATAGACGTTACTGGAGCTTCGGACCAACCGAGGTCGCGTTTCAATCAAATGTGTGCATATCAAATGATAGCATCAGGGCCGAATCGTAAATCGCCAATATATCGCAATATATTATATTGTTGAGCTGCGTGTCGTATCTCCAGATTCATGCTAACGCACGCCCGTCCGTTCAATAATAGAACCCTTTGTTCAAAGCCCTGCTCACAGCGGTCCTGTGTTCCCTTCAGGTGCGATGCCCAGTGACGGTGTGCGGCGACGTCCACGGTCAATTCCACGACTTGATGGAGCTGTTCAAGATCGGAGGGAAATCCCCCGACACCAACTACCTGTTCATGGGAGACTACGTCGACAGAGGCTACTACTCGGTGGAGACGGTCACACTGCTCGTCACATTAAAGGTAAACGGCGCCACCATGTGGTGGTTTCTGTGACACCGTGGTTTGTTATGAGATTTATCGGAAAAGAGAACATTTCAATCCTTTTAATTGAAATTGGTAATTTTTTTACATTTTCCCTGTTTGGGAAACTGATCGTTCAACTTTCCGAACTTCTGCAACTTCCGTCGTCCAGGTTCGTTTTCCGGAGCGGATTACCATCCTGCGAGGAAACCACGAGTCGCGGCAGATCACGCAGGTCTACGGCTTCTATGACGAGTGTCTGAGGAAGTACGGCAATGCCAATGTCTGGAAGTACTTCACAGACCTGTTCGACTACCTGCCACTAACCGCGCTGGTCGACGGACAGGTACGAGGGGAACGTGATAGGGACAGGTTGACGAAAGTTGGAATTCTTAGTCGGCGCTTGGCGTTCAGAATCAGCTGTTTCTCTCCTGTCTTTAACGTCCTCATGTCCATTCTAGATTTTCTGTCTCCACGGAGGTTTGTCTCCCTCCATAGACACTCTGGATCACATACGAGCATTGGACCGTCTCCAAGAAGTTCCACACGAGGTACCGAGCTGCGCTAAAGTCGATTTCCGATTTATTATTTTTTTTAAAAGACTGAAAGATAACGTTGTCACTCTTTTCTCATCAGGGCCCCATGTGCGACCTGCTGTGGTCAGATCCCGATGATCGCGGTGGGTGGGGGATCTCCCCCCGTGGTGCCGGCTACACCTTCGGACAGGATATCTCCGAAACGTTTAACCATGCCAACGGCCTCACTCTGGTGTCCCGTGCCCATCAGCTCGTCATGGAGGTGAATATTCCGACGCCAGACATTTTGGACCTTTTGTCCCCCAGTGAGGACAAAGCGACCAATCCCGTGTCACTGTTTGGTTTTCCGGATCGAAAGACTTTACGTTGCAGTTATTTTTTAAAAACATCCCACGTCGAAAGAATCCAAGAACGGACGTTGAATCCGGAAGCGCCGTTCATTTACAAGTGCCCTCTAGTGGCCATACTCGGTATGGCGCAAAGTATTGATTTCATAAGTTGCACGACATGCCAAAGTAGGTCAAGCGTTCGCTCTTCTGTGCGTGGACCGATCCTGTCGCGTGATGCTGTGCGCGGTCACGCTAAACTTCGTCTAAACTTACTTCTGATTTTACCTTTTTTTTTTTTTTTTTAGGGCTACAACTGGGGCCATGACAAGAACGTGGTGACCATTTTCAGTGCTCCAAACTACTGCTACCGCTGTGGAAACCAAGCAGCCATTATGGAACTGGATGACACTCTGAAATACTCTTTGTAAGTAAAGATTTTTGGGGGGGGGCGGAGTTCGGGTTTGTTGTAAAGGGTTCTGCGAGTTGGAGTTTTTAGACGTGGTTAGAAGTGGTCTTTTTTTTTTCTGAAATGTACGTAGTTTCACACTCAAACACACTTTGTACAGTGGGGTTAGCATGCTGCCTTTTTTTTTTTTCGATCACGTATAAGAAAAGTCATTAAAACAAGTATGTTTGTGTCTTTCTTGGGAAATAATTCCACCGATTACCACTAGAGGGAACCCAAGTACTCCCCTCTTTATTATCATTTTTATTTTTAGTAAACAAATGTTAAAACTTCCAGGTCAGGTCTTTTATTTTGAATTTCATTTGGTTTCTCGTGTCATTTCCTGTTTTTTACTTTCAACGTAAATTGTGCGTAAATGATTTTCATGTCAATCACTAACTCAACTCTTTTTTTTTCCCCACTCCCGCAGCCTTCAGTTTGACCCCGCCCCACGCCGCGGCGAGCCACACGTGACCAGACGCACTCCCGACTACTTCCTGTAAATGTCCAAAGCCACCCCCTGTCAATCATATACAAAGTCCTGCCCCTCCTCGTAATCCCTTCCTTTTGGATGAAAAGATATTACTTATGATGATGATGATGATGATGATACTGATACTGTACCAGGGAGAATAAAAACAAAAGATTGGCTGATGAGTTTGAGATTTTTAACAAAGAGAAACTTAAAAAAAAAAGTGCAGCCCTTCTACAGTCGTGTCTTCAATATGCTGTCGTTAATGCTGTGCTTCTGGGAGGAAAACAAACAAACAAACAAACAAAACTTTCAAACACACTGATCGTTTCCTCTTCTTTTTTTTTTTTTTTTGTTTATTATGTTTGAAAATGAGATAATAAAACTACCAACGTGGACCAAATGTGCCATATTCTGATCCTTTTACAACATTTTTTTTTTTTGTTTTTTTGTTTTTTTTAGACCAGCACTATAACCCTACCTACCTGAAATCACCTCCACTCATCACATCTCATGGCATATATACAGTGCTTTTTTTTTCTTTTTTTTCCCTGTTGCAAGATAATTTAAAACAAGGAGGAAAAGCGTAGAACATGAATTTTGCTTGACGTAGAACAGCTGTCACTTTTAGCTGTCCATGCCGCAGCCAGGTGTCATCTCAGCAAGTATATTACTGTAATTTGAATAAAGACAACAGACGTATGAAATAAAATGTCCTATTGACAAACTACTGGGCTGCGTCTGTTATGTTGTTTTTATTTTCTGTTTTTTTTGGGGGGGGGGGTTAGCCTTTTTGTGTCTGTATTTTGCAGACATTAACCAATAAAAAATATTTTCTTGTCAGAATAAACATACATTATCATCTGACATAAAGTTAAATATTTGTGTGTATATACAGTATATATATGTATAATTTTCTTTTCTTTTCTTGTAAAAGCTAACTGTAAATTGCCATGATCAGGAAGACGGTCCTTTTTGTGCTTGATATATGTTCTCAATATTTCCACGAGGTGGCGGTAGTGGCACTAAAACCGGGATGTACTAACAAGATGGAGGCCTGCTTGAGACGAAAAGAAGGCCTTATTAAATGGAAGTTATTGAAAAAAATAAATAAACCGATTGAAGTAGGCTACACGTTTGTATTTACGGGAAGGGTTTGTAGTCAGGTCAGAGTCCAAGTGGTATTTAGGTTAGCATAAATATTAATTTGTTAATTGTTTTATTGAACCACATAACAACATAAGAAACTGTTCTATCAAAGTACGAGGCAATTAAAATGTATAGGCATATAAAACAACACAACACCTATAAAGAAAAATATTTATATACAATTTTGTGTGTGTTTCTTTTCCATTAGTTTCAAATATTTGGTATACTGTAGTTTCTAACAAGTAACTGTATTTACCATATTATGCAATTAACGTTTTCCGACATTAAAATTAACAATAAATGACGGTAATAACAGACGGTCGTCAATTTTGAAAAGTGAAAATTAACTCACACATGGATTCACTTTAAATGTAATAAAGTATTAATTTAACTACCTAATTAACTATTGAAATATTTTTTAAAGAAAACATACACTGGATCTGTGTTTGAAGAAAAATAATCCAAAACATAACATCTACTGCTAAAATAAAATTTAAAAAATTGAAGGACCGGAAGTAGGAACTAGTGACCCGGAAGCGCTAAAACAAGTCGTTTCCCAAGCTTCCCCCACAGGAACATTTTCGTTCAGACTGCTAAATAACAGGTTCGTTTTTAAACAAATATATTTTCTAACGTTATGCGTCACATTCAGTAGTATTGAATACATTATTAAGACTTTATACACATATAACCGTTTGAAGTTGCTGTGCTAATTACGTTAGAGAACTAGCCCTTCAAGCTAAAAACAAAGAGCACGGTAAACGTACACACACGAAATGACATGGACACAATTCTATATTGCGAAAACAATTCGTTTTTATATTTAAAACAGGGTCTTCAACGTGACATAGTGATGAATTGCAATAAATATAATCGTTTTTATTAGTGCGGTATTGTTAAATGAAAGTTTAACAATATTAACCTAGCCCTACTGGTTATAAAATATTGTGCAAAAAAGGACAAAAATTAAGTACTGACTGAAATATATATTTTTAATGTAAAAAAATAAAGTGGTGCCATTTTTAACAAAAACATCAACTCTTTATCATTTTAAGGATGGGATGAGATGAGGAGAACTTAGCAGTGCAGCCGTTCCTTACCATCCGTCCATGGAGGATGTAGTTCTGCACTACCAGCCTCGATCAGCAGGAGGCCTTAATTCTCTTTTAGAGAGGACGGAGAAGCTCCTGAAGCCCTTTCCCTGTCGGACTCCTCCGGTCTTCACACCCTGGTACCCCTCCGTCGCCACAGACCGCCGGCTGCCTATCAGACCAGCCAGACCAGCTCCCATCATCATCAGCACCTCAGATGATCCTCCTGTCTCTGTCAACAAGGAGTGCAGTACCACTATAGTACCAGCATCCTCACCGAGTCAACTAAAAAAAACAGAAAATACGTACAAATTCGCAGGTAAAGGACACCATAAAGATCTAGATTCGGATAATCCAGGGTGTCCTTTTATGAAAACACAAAGAAGAGAAGCCCCCAGCCGTGTCGTACATTCCCCGAACCACCACGAACCAGAGACGCGAGTCGTCAGACTGTCGCCTAAGAAAACGACACACAGAAACAAGGAGCGCGACGGTGTCACGGCCAAACGCTCCTGGAGTTTGTTCACGCGGAGTTCACGCGGAGTTGCTCTTCACGCCTTCACGTCACATTCCCAACAATTCCGTAACGTCGTGTCGGTCCACAGACTCAACCTCCGCCAGAGAGCGAAATGGATCATCGGCGAACGCAACTGTGGAGCTGGTCGGGACATCGAACAGGTCAGAATCAAAACATCGAAAAAACACTCCGACTTAAACGTTAGCTTCTGTCGGTAATACTGCAACGACGTGATTTTCTTGACATTCTAATATTAACTAAATACTAAATACATTTTAGATTTTTTTTGGAAAATAATCATTAGTAAAATATATTAAATACAACATATATATGTGTCGGTTCCAGTACTTGTACATCAAACAACAGGGTGCTATTTCCTCTTCTCTCCACCAGGTGTGGCGGACTCTGAGCCGGTCTGCCCACAGCGGACAGCTTCCAACATGCAACGCCAACATCCAAAGGGATCGGGCGGAGATCTGGGTGTTCTGCGACGTTCTCTGCTCCGAGCAGGTCGGACATTTTCTGAAAGACGAGCTGCAGCTTTCTGGGAATATTGTCCTGTCGGTTCCCAGGAAAGGAAACGTCTTCAGCGTTTAGAAGAACGTAAATAGTTTTAAAAGGACAACTCAGGTTTTAAAATACACGTTTACAGCTTTGACGAAATTATTTGAATTATGAGTTTTTTATCTGTGTTAAGTCGAACAAAACGATGGATTTGTGAATTGTTCTTTTCTGGTGTTGACTCTGCTGTGACCGAAGTCTGAATTAACAAATTATTTATTATCAGAGTTTTTAATTTCTTAATTAAAGGCCTATTTTTTTTAAAAAAAGGAACGTGAAAAATGCAAAATGTCATTCAAAAATTATAGACATTGTTACAATGTTTTTTAATTGCAAATCCATTTAAATTATGTTTTTAAAATCCAAGTATCAGAAGACGGATACATCGCAAAAAATTTTGTTTCATTGTTCATGTGACATCAAGGATTGTATGCAGTACCACGGTACTCCACACACACATTTTCTTTCTTAAATTTATTTTTATTTATTTATTTTTTTGGTGACAAATGCACTGATATTGTACAAAGGTTGACTTATCAATGAAAGACCAAGAAATTGTATAAGTATAACTGGCTGTTGTCAACGTCCTTTTTTTTACACAATAAATAAAGATGTTAATGTATGAACACAATGGTGTTGGTTTGTACCAGAGGAGCAGCTGTCACATGACACACACACACACACACTGATTGTTGGATCAATGAGGACAGTGTGAATCTATTACACCCCCATCTCCACACGCTGGCTCTTATCCCTGTCTTGGCGAGTCTAGGTTACAGGACGTGACGTCAGGTCCACGCCTCCCTCCCTGCCCAGCTGTTCCGTCTGCGATAATAAAGTCCACATTCGTGTGGGATTTAGCACGATTTTAATATTATAATTTAAAAAAAGGTACCGTGTACATCTATTGCGATATTCGGGTACATTATTTTGTCACTCCGGATAGCGTACACGTTCGGTTAGCGACTCATGTTCGTCGACGTTTTATTTTGAAAGTGCGCCTATTTGGTTGGATTACATTAAAAACGCGTCCAAATGGATGTAATGTTTCTAAATTTAACCTCGCGGGAAAATTCTAGTTGAAAATATGCGTCAAATCTTACACAAATTAGACAATTCTTCTTAAACGCGACCGTTTAAATATAATTTAGACTGACAGTTCACACCGGAAGTGCGTTGAAATAATGTCGCCGTCTTGACGCACTGTAAACTGCTCTGCTAACATTTGGAACAGACGTCTGAGATACGAGAGGGCGCATCTGGCGAAAGTGCGAGATACGTTCGCGGAGTAACTAGGTTTAAGACGGAAAGTTGACGTCGTTAGTGTTCAGTCGTCACACATGGCGTCCGCCGTTTGCGCTGTTGGAGGTCCTTCGTGGTGAAAACTGGAATAAGGTGAGCCGCCGTAGCCACTGACAGAAGTTAGCAGGCTCGGCTAGCGCTGGCACGCTTTGTCGTTTCCCGTTTCCTGGAGGGGGTCGCTGTCTCCGTGTTTTTTTTTTGTTTTTTTTTTAATGTTCTAAAATAGGAATTAGCATTTTTCCTAAAATATTTTTTAAATGTTTAAATTCACTAGTTGTAACGTCTAAAACCCTTTGTGTATGTCTATTTTTTTTTTTTTAGTTTTCTTGCGTATTTAAACTCCGTCGGTTCTGTTTGTTGACTTCACTTTAATTATTGACATTAGAATAGCAAAGAAACGTGCTTTTTTGTCAACAATTTGACTATTTATCTTACTAATTATTTACTTAACTCGTTTAAAAGTGAATTATTTAACGTCATTTTTCTTTTGACATACGAAATCCAAAAGCTGAAGAAAATATAATGAATTGACAGACATGAAAAAAAAAACCCAAAACAACTATTTTTTTTAAAATTCCCAACTTGTTTCCACTGTGATCTTTAGGACATTTTCCACATTTTTGTTCAACCTAAAAAAAAAAAATATTTTTTAAATGAATAATAAATATTAACGACCACATTTACAGCAGTAATCATATGCTAACGTTTTTGACGTGGATATTCGTGAACAACTAGCTTCACGTTCGTGATTCCGGCAACATGTCAGACATTTAAAAAAATTCACGCTTTGCGTCCCTGACCTTTGCTGACCTTTTCTGCGCACCCTGACATAGTATGAGAATATATCCCATGATCACTTTCATTTTTAGTAGCGCCGCGAAATATACTTTTGACTCTAACTCTCACGTTTTTTTGATCTCACCCTGCCCTTAAAGTACACACTACTTTGAATACGCTGTACTCCGTAGTCATATACAGCTCTCGCTTCCCGGGCCGTCGGTGCTGAACTCGAAGGAGCGGTCATCGTTAAAATCATTTGCTCAGATGCACCATTAACGGAGATGAGAAGCTGTAGCGGCGCACAAATAAATCTCGAGTTAATAATTCAAGAGCCGGCAGTCTATCGCGGAAAACATTTGATCTCTTCCAGATCTGATATCTCAGATGATCAGACAACCCTCGACAGGTTCTTATCTCATTTATACTTTCACTATAAGATCATGGCCTGCGTTGTTAACTAGGAGATCTCCCTAAAATTAGTGTTTTTATTTAGTTTTGTTCGTATTCATCCATTGTCGATCGCGTCGAAGGTGTAAAAAAGTTACCGGAACTTTGATCCCACGCAACTCTCTTCACCAACTTACCAGTAAAACCTCAGTCATATTCTTGAACGTCGCAGGAAACCATCAAGAGTTCACGTCTGAGAACACGACTTATCGTTATCTACCTAGCGCCGCAGCTGCCTTTTAACTGCGTCTGAGTCAGTGCAGCCGGTTAAACGTGACCTCTGGTATACGTTCATGCCTTCCTGCTTTTACGGAGTATTTCGGCCACATGAGAGAAGCCACTAATTGTTACCACGAAAACGTTTACAGCAACCGTGCGAAACGTCAAATTAAAAAACCCTTCAGATCTTCATCTACGTTTTTTTTATTTTTAGTGCAGCATAAAGTGCTTTCGGCACCACTGCGTCTCTGGGTGCCTTCCTGGGAGGGGGGGGGCCCGAAATAAAAACTGTGGTGCAAAGCAGCATTGACGCAGGAAATCTTTTTTTGACACTGATGTTGTTTATTTGCGGTCTCTGTGCTACACTGCGTGTTAAAAAAAGGATGTTGGATTTTGAGTCTCGGTCGTTTTTTTTGTCGAACGCGCACCTGCTGATGCTGCGTTGGGTGCCCGTTTGTCCCAGTTTCTACGTTATATTTATAAGCCGTTGTCCTTTTCCTGTGGACCAGAGTAGAACTGTTTCCTAACGCGTCCCTGAGAGTGAACCTTCTTGGTCAAAACGAGGAGTGTATCGGCAGGAATCCGGCGATACGATACGTATCACGATACGGGGGGGAAACGACACGATATATTGTGATATAAAGAGTTTTTAGCTTTTAGCCTAAATTACTTACAGACGGAAGATTAACGATCAAGCTTGTGGTTCCTCAGGGATTCGAACCCGGGTTACTAAAATTGACAATACCATGGACCGGTATATCCGTCCGGTATCTAGTACCGCACTATTGTTGAAGGATCGTTAAATTATCAAAATTAAACGTCTTTCGGACTTTCTTCTGTTAGTATCGGAGTCTGATGACCTTTGACCTTTTGTTTTGAAACATTGACAAATGATATATATTTTTTGGAATGAAGTAAATCAGTAAAACTGTAAAAGTAAATTTTTTTCACTGCGTCCTACCTCGGACCGCTACCAAATGACCTACGGACCATCACCGGTTCCCGCACCGGGGGTTGGGAACCCCTAGCTCTAGACATCAAAAAAACCTAAATTTTGCATCAAAACGTTTTCCTCCGTGTCCCCTCTCCACCCCCCCAAC